TAAAGCCTTTCCTCTCACAAAAATGATATTAAAAAGTAACTTAAATAACACATTTATGTATCTTTTCAAACTATGTTTTTAGTTACATCTGTCTTAAATTAGGCTTAGAGATACAAAACAAAGTTGCTGTCGGGTCCTTTGTCAACTGAACTGTGAATGTTCCACTGACTGTCTTTGTTTCCTCTTCTTCAGATGGTACTGGTTCAGATTCATCTCAACACAGCTCAGTACCAGGATCTCTGAACAGCATCTGAAGCAGCCTCCCACCTGCCTGCCAGCCTCACCCTTATCTCAGACGCTCTCACACACACACACACACACACACACACACACACACACACACACACACACACACACACACACACACACACTTGCTTTCCTCCATGCTGCTTGCTCTCCTCTTAGACGATCTGTTTTTGTACAGTAAATGCATTGAACAAACAAACATTAGTTATTTAGCTGCCAGGGTCCAAACCACGGCAGGTGTTTGTTAAACAAACACACACGCACACACACACAAACAGTCATCTCGCTGCTGCTCGGGTGGTCTGTGAAGGTTCAATAGTGGGGGCTGGTCCTCTGTAATATAAACGTTTTTTTAAATTCACATTTTAATTTTTTTTTCTTAATATTTGTGTTTTTATTTATTTGGCAAATTGAAAGCATCATGTGGTCAGACAACAGTTGGGCTATATAAGGTTTTATTTTTTGTTTTATTATTCAGATTATTTTTGTATACGCTTCAGTTTCTCTCCATCTGAACTGTACACCGCCTGACCAAGATCAGAACTGGCCCCCACAGGTCATCAGGGTAAAGGATGTTTTATTCAACTCAGGGCAGGAGAGTGGATGCAGGGAATAATAAATCCCTTAATCCTCCAGCCACATTATTTTTACCAGCCCAGCCTGATGTTAGGTCTGAAGTCTTCTTGAATGAAGTGGCAGGTAGGGTAGGAGACCTCATCAGTAGCAGGTCGCAGTGTTTGGTTGGAGGTGAATGTGTTCAGTGGCTGCATTACTCTAAACAGACTGGACTGGTGTCACCATGTTTCACATTGTTTGGTTAAAAATGGTCTAATACCACTTCCTAATGTCTAAGTTTGTCCCTCTCTTAAACATGTAGTATGTTAATAATAAGTTTGTATGGATTCACTTTGCTTAACCTGGCATTTAAAAAAAAAAAACGTCACGCTCTAAGTGGGAGAAGCATATTCTCCTTCCCTAAAAAATACGATTAGCCCAAAATCTGACTCAGATTTTTTCACACAGAACTTTTGGCAGCGCTTTTGATTGGTGGGTGCCATTAAAAAGATTCCAGTGTAAAATACTAAATAAAACAACATGTAGCCAGTACCTAATTAACAGTTAACGGGTCGTTTTGGCAAATGTTATCGGATTTTATTTTTCTCCCAGATTTCCAATCTACCGATATTCTCCAAAGATTTAGTTCCCCTTCATATTCACAGTTGTCTTTTTAAAAGATCAATCGTACTTCCATTAGGGCAGATGTGTTATTATATTATTTTGGGATATAATTATATAAAACATCCAGATAAATATTCCTTAACCTGCCTCTGTTCATCAGCAATACATTAGTTTAGACCTGTTGTGAAGAAAGCGTGGATGTGCAGATTTAGAAAAGAAGCCTTTGGGATTGAGCCAACAACATAAAAAGGTCATAATGTGAGTAGTGGGACATTACTGGACGCTGTTTGGTGCGCTGCTTGTTCTGTCTTGCCAAGTATTGGTTTTCAATTGAGGATTAGATGCAAACTGTCCTAAATAATTCAAATCAAAAAACATAAATTGATATTGAAGCTTGTCTATTTAAGTAGATTCTGTATCGCAACATCAATGCTTCTTATAGAAATTGCTCCAGAATTTATTTGCTAAAGACAATAACCAAATGTACTGCTCTTCCAACCGCCAAGAAAACCAAGTCCACCACTGGGTTCAGAAAGGTGTGTTCCACTCAAATCTGCTTTAATGTAATCATGTGAATGAAACTAAATTAGGAAAAAAAAACATTTCTACAAAACAAAGAAATGTAACTTTCATATGGTCAAAATGTTTTTAATAAGTCAAACATTTTGAAATATGGCAACTGCTTTTAAAAAGTCTGATTTGTTTTACATTTAAACATTTTAAAGCTTTCGAAAATGATTAAATGTGGTAAATATAGTTACTTGTTGGCTCCCTGTTGACATGTATTTATACATTAAAAAAAATAGGCTTGTTCTTAAATGTGTTTTAATTTCACAATATAATACTTGACACTGTATAAAGGTGTACTAAGCCTACTAAAGATCCCTTAAACTGTATCGTCAGATTTAAGAAAAATGCTCTCTAATCAAAAGGTCAATTTGAGGAAATTCCCATTTTAGCTCAAATAAAAAGACTTCTTGTCCTGATGTTAGTGTAGGAAACAAATGCATATGTAGTCCAGGAGCTGGGTGAATGTTGATTTACTGCAGCAGAGAAACTGAATAATACTGGGATGGAGGATTCAATGTTTTATTAAAACTCGACAGGGTGGGGTACTTCATGTAAACTCATCGATTTGCTTTTGTGATGGAGTCAGTTCATTTCAGCAGAGGAGGGCATTATAATGTCGCAGCTACTTTTCTCCCATCACTGGAAATATGTGAACAATTTCAAAACAAAAACACAGGAGAGTGGAAGGCTTAATGTGAATATAGTTAAGCAGGGGGCTTCCTGTTTGGTGACTGTTTGTGTGCTCCTTGTACTTTTATCTTTGTGAGGACCAATTAGGAGTGAGAAAAAGCAGCATATACAGGTTAAGGAAGATGTATTATCAGTCTCTCAAATATTGAAGTCCAGATGTGTGTGACCATTCTCCAACGTGCAGTCTGAAGTTCAGCCAGTGTTGTAGGGTTTAGAGCCGTCAACAGTACAGATCTTTAGTAAGCAGTGCAGACCACTTGTAGTATAGTATCCCTCCATGCCTCCACCTTCAAAACTGCAGCAATGTTTAGTTTTTTTAATGCTTTTTTTGGATTCCACCACACTCACTGTATGAGGAGAGTGGAGAGCATACATCATTCTCTTCCCCTTCCTCCCGTTTCCTTTGCTGTAAAGAGCAGGGGCATCGTGTTTATCTCTGCGGGCGCGACACACTCAGAGCTGTCTGCGGCCATGACAAAGTGTAACCCCCCCCTGCAGAGGAATCAAACATGTCTGCTTCGTCTCTTCCTCCGATCTCAGAAGCCATTCCCCCCCCTCCCTCACTCTCCTTCTCTTATCGCACGTGTAAATATCACTGATTTTTATTTTCCTCTTTTTACTTTTTATTACAGAGTTGTTTATATCTTCTCCCCGCCCCCCTCATCCTGTCGATGAAGCAGTCTTAGTTTGTGCATTTTTGTAAATAATTTGTTTTTCTTTCACAATTGAAAATGTAAATACAGCAAAGAAGAAAAACTCAGCCTACTCCTCACGTTTGTTGATGCTCTTTCTCTCTCTTTCTTAGTAGAATTCCAGTGGAAATTGTAACGTAGCTGCTAATGCGGTGACTCAGCTGTCCTCTGTGGGAGCACCTCGATGTGGGATGAACATTTGAAGGGGTTTCTGTTCCAAAATGCTCTCTTTGTGTTCACTTTGGGGGGGAACATATATTCACCTTACCATCAGTTTGACCTCTTAAAAAAAGTACTGAGGCGTGACATGTTAGCAGCATCTCTCTCCAAAACTATACTTCTACTGTTGATCCATACAGTGTAATACATGCAAAAGGTATACAATGATGATGTTCGTATTACTCTCATATTGTTGTAAATATATACCTGAAAAAGAAATAACATTTGACAGGCTGCTGATGGAGGGAGCTGTTCTATCATTGCTAGACGAATGCTAGTTCTAATTAAACAAATTCAAGATTTCCCACTTTGTTTTATTATTTTCATTTGGCCTTGGTCACCTTCTCCCCTTTTTTTGTAAAAAAAAAACCTCCTTTTGTCTCTCCACAGTAAATAGACCACACGCAGTCACTGTAACCGTCACTCGTGAAAATGTGTTCAAGCTGACAAAAATCTTACATTTTGCTGATTTAAATGATACTCTTAAGCTCTAAAACGTCTTAAAACAGCAGCTATAGAAATGAAAAAGCCTCATTTTGGAACAGAACTACGTTTGTTGTGACAGATTGCAATATATAATTACTGTGCAGTATTGAGAAAAAAAGCTAACGGGATATAGATTAAGCTTACAGGTCACTGGCATTTTCAGAAAAAGTGCTTCGTCATGCCTGACCTGATCGTTAAAGTGTTAGTTGGGCTAGAAATGTACAGTTTGATGTCCAGCTTGTACTCAACTCGGGCGTTTTGTATTACGTGCCATATGGCATTCAGAACTTGATGAGCTACAGAGACATGTGTGGACCTATCAGTTGTCAATGGGCAGAAATGTTGACTGAATCTCAGACATTTTACTTTTTGTTTGTTTTCAGATTCTCCGTTGTGTGTAAATGTCACATTCAGTTCATGGTTTTTACTCCAATGCTGTTCACGTTGGTGTCTTTCTGCCCTGGTGGTCTGATGTGTTGCAGGGATGTAGGGAGGGATGGAGAAAGAGAGAGAAAGAAACACAAACCTGTCCGTCTCTGTTCTGTGTATGTATGATATGGACTCATTTACTGTAATAAAGTGATGAAACTGTGTTTGGATTGTGTGCACTGTTTCTCTTTCAAAGTCAATTCCAGTTATATAACCTATATAGGTTAGGAGTTGCATTTAAAAAAAGATTATGCTCATTTTCAGGTTCATATTTGTATTTTGTGCCTCTACTATGCTTTCAATTTCCCCCAGCAAGTGAAAGGTAGGGTAGGTAATTCACTTCAGAAACACTTTTTGTTATATTCCATAGAATGCATCCAAATGCTTTGACAATAAATATATACAAATATTTCATCTCTGGAAGCCGTGGCGCTGTAAAAAGCACGACCAATCATCTTCCTCGGCCCGGCTAAAGTAACTGGATGGCCTACCTGTCAGTCAGCCTTCCTTCTGTGCACAAACTTATCTCATGCCCTCATTGGTCATGAGGGCATGACCAGTGCGCGTTAGTGTATGTTGGAGGAGGGGCTCTGTAAGGAAGTCTGAAGGAAGGGGCAGATTTCTTTCGGCTGTTTACTTTCAAATGATAGCGCACTCGAGCTGGTTTCTCCATTCTTACCCTACCAGTACCTTTTTAAGTTTGTTAGTTCTAAAGGAAAATACTGTTTTGAGCTCTGGGAATCTGCCTATACCTAGAGAGAGCTGCCCTTGAGCAAGGCACCAGAACCCCACACTGCTGTGTATATGATAGCTGCCTACTGCTCCTAATACTAGGTTGGGTTAAATGCAGAGTCTATATTTCACTGTCTGTGGTGCTGTGTACAGGTGTGACGGTTAGAAGTTGATTTGATTCGGATCATCCACTTTCCATGCCACCACAGAGAAACAAATGTGTATACAAAAAATACGAAGGGTTTATAAAAGAAAAATCAATTGAGTTTTGATTAATTGGGAAAAAACGTCTACAGATGAATCCAGAAAGATACAAATATTTGGTTCTTAGTTTAAAATTAGTTCAACCACTACTCCCATAGTAAAAAGAGTAATGATAATGATACAATAAATAATAGTACAGGAGACGTTCTTCAGCTTCGAGTACTTTTCATACTTTAAATACATTTCCATGACTATACTTTTACTACACTAACATTTTCAATGAAGGACCTTTAACAATTGTTTTCAGTGAACTATAAGTACTTTTACTTTAGGTAAAGGATCTGAATATACCTTCTATCTCTGCTGTTGGTTAGTAACAGGTTGCCTTCTTTGTCTTTGCTGTGTTTGTGAAACTGGTGTGTGAGAGACAGCAGGGTGTGTCACCAAACGCTCCTAGGTGAGTAATTCTGGGTAAGAGTCACAATGTTCCACTGATACATTGGTTCTGTAACAGATATTGATTCATCTTACAAGAGTAAATCAACTACCTAAAACATTTCTGAATTGACCGGTTATTATAAATTCAAAAAGTATTTCCCTGTTGCTTTTTGTATAAAGGTGTCTTTATTTTGCAGTTTTCCAGAAGTGGAAGATACTTGGCTGAGAAACTTACTGGAGCTGGTGAGATTTTCCGATTGTATGCATCTCAACCTTGAAGATTTATATTACAATTTATAAATGTGTTCATATCTAAGATAAGATGGTACTTTATTGATCCCAATTTGGGAAATTGTTTTTGTTGCGGCAGCACAAAAGACAAGGCATTTTACAATCAAACAAAACTAGAAATAAACAAGAATAGAAATAAAATAAAATAGAAAAGGTACATGTAGATATTATATATACAAATACTCTAATCTCCTGTTTTAACCTGAATGTTGTTTTTGTTTGATTTTCAGATTTTTACATTCACTCCATTTCAGTATAACATTTCCATTTCTCAATATAAACAATGAGGTTCTTTCTTCTTCTCTCTGCCACCTTTAGTTTGAGCGTAGCAGCAGGTAAGACTTGTCCAGAGAAAAACATTTAAAATGGAAATGTTATACATTCTTAAACAAAATCTTTATTGATTTGACATATTTTACACATATAATAGATACTGATAATGATTAAATGAGACCCTAACCCTCAAATGAGTAAGTGATTAATGTGTAAAATCTACAATGTCATCACTTTACACACTTGACCTGGAAATGAATGATGTTTTCAAATTCATGTTTTCATTAAGAAATATTGTAGCGTAAAGCTTAAGTAGGCATAACCACATGATAAAAAAGGTAAAAAACCACGGCTGAAGGTAACAGAAAAAATCTGACACAACAAACAAACAAAGCAAATCAAGATGTTTGTCGGGAATCTGCCCCGGAAACATCTTACTACATTTAATGAAGCTGAAGTGGAAACCTTAACTGTATAAATCTTGTCCAAAATCCACAGACGTTGAAGACACAACATTTAAACTTTGATTCTAATCCAGTCAATCAGGAAATGATTTGCCAAAATACCATTATGTGAAGTGATTTAAGGCGAGAGAAGGACTCAGATCCCTAACTTAAGGACAAGTAGATAATATGGACTTAAAATATTCCATTACAAATAAAGAACCTGAATTCAAAATGTTGCTTAAGTAGAAGTAAAGACGTGTACTTAAAGTATGCAGATTGGCTCTTTTTGCAGTGCTTTATTATTATAGAATATTATATTATCCTGTTTTTGTCACAAAAAAATACATACAAGAGGTTTTTATGGTTGTAGTTTGTCAATGTGGAGGACAATAAAGAGACTTTGTAAAAATACTGGGTTTATTTGTAGTATATGCTGTATTCAAATATAAGCATATCATCTTTTTTATATGTTAAATGTAAACAGTGGTAATTAAATTAGTAAAAAGTATGATTTTTGCCCTTGAAATGTTGTGGCGTAAAAGTAGCATAAAACAGAAATATACAAAAGTAAAATACTTTTCACGTCAAAAAGTGACTTTATAATGGTACTTAGTTACATTTCACCACTAGTAATGTTTTTTTTGTCTCCTCCTGATAGCAGAAGAGAGGGCTGCGTGGCAGTATGAAGGAAGCGGCCTGACTCTTTTGGAGATTGAGATGTTTGACAGGTCGCCCAATTGGGTCGGACACCAGAAACGATACTTTGCTTTGATACTTCGTCAACACGCCGATGAGCTGGATGGATGCTGAGGCAGCCTGACGTTACACTGTTAAGGCGTTGGTGTAACACGAGACTGGATTCCAAATCTATTTCCAAAGATGCTTTAAACCCCTTCTTTACGTCTCACTTTGCTTTCCTGGTTATTAAAGATATTGAAAATATTTGCATTATTCTCAGATTTGAAAAATAAAAATGTCTACCTTCTATGTAAAAGCTACAGCCCTGATATCTTCATCTCTTTCTTTAAAATGCTTTCCTTTTTATTTATTGACTTAGTCTTTCCATACATGCACTTTGCTCAAGTTACAACATATATTGTTAACAGGCAATTTCTCTGATCTGTGGGGATGTGAACATTGAGCTGAAGTGTCCCTTCCTCTCGGGCACTGGACCAGTTCAGATGGTAAGAGTTTTGGAAAAAGATCTCTAATGATTTGCTTTATTTTTGATGGAGGGTGCAGTATCTCCTCACACAGTAACATTTTTTAAATAACCCATCAACTATCTAACAGAAGGCAACATTTATTGTGAAAAGCTGTGAACAATAAGTAAATAAATAAAAAATACAGTTAAGTTATTTGATTGTCTTTTTTATTATGAAATATATAGTTAATCTTTATTGGTTTGGGGGAAAGATGGAAATGTATAGTGTTTGAAGCCTCACTGTGAAACCTCATACTTGATGAGACGGATGAAATATGCTAAGATTTCAGAATACAGGACTGTCTCAGAAAATTAGAATATTGTGATAAAGTTCTTTATTTTCTGTAATGCAATTAAAAAAACAAAAATGTCATACATTCTGGATTCATTACAAATCAACTGAAATATTGCAAGCCTTTTATTATTTTAATATTGCTGATTATGGCATACAGCTTAAGAAAACTCAAATATCCTATCTCTAAATATTAGAATATCATGAAAAAGTATACTAGTAGGGTGTTCAACGAATCACTTGAATCNGTTAGTAGTTTTATTATTAGATATCTCTGTGCTGAATTGATGCCACTTGTTAACAATCTGGAGTAAAATCGTTCCATGACACTCACTGCAAGCAGGAATTACAAGTGGCATCAATTCAGCACAGAGATATCTAATAATAAAACTACTAACACACTACTGTATATATTGAAATATACAAGTTATATATTATTAAAATAACATTATTTGATCTCTTTTGGATATCCTTAATGTCACTTTATATGTTTATGTAAATATTCATATTCTATTTTATATCCCACATTACTTCAACTTCTTATTTTTTTAAACACACTCACCTTGATAATCTCTACGAGCTGGTCCACCCCGCTGTCCCCGGGGAATATGGGCTGTCCGAGCAGCAGCTCAGCCAGCACGCAGCCTGCTGACCAGATGTCGATGTTTGCAGTGTAGTCCGTGGCACCAAAGATGAGCTCAGGTGCACGATAATACCGCGAGCAGATATACGAGACGTTGGGTTCACCGCGGATCAGCTGCTTGGCGCTAAGGAAACACAAGAAATCAAGGTGTTGAAAATGTGATCTATTGTGGAGGGAATCAAGACTTGTGAAGTTTTTCTTATTTTAACTTAACAATTTGATATGGTCAAACTTGTTCAAGTCAAAGAAGATAGAGAAATAAATATTGCTGTGAGATACAAAGAAGGCAACAAGCAGACCCTGTGATCTGTATCAGACAATAATGCTTACAGTGATCAGCCCTTTGAATCCTTATCGGAGCACCCTTTTTAAGAAGTAGGTTCGAGTCTTTTTATACAATCCCATCAGGTTGTTTGAAGTCCTAGGCGTGAATTAACCTATTCATACGTTATCTGCAATGTCACATAGGCTGAAATCCCCATTAGGCAATAGATACAGATAGATCGATCGGCCGATACATCGATCGGCCGATACTCACTCTCTACCGATCGGCCGATACTCACTCTCTACCGATCGATCGGTGCTCTCTAAACATGCCGATATTGAGACGTAAAATACATGACTTTTCTCTGTGCGCGGCAAAACAAGCTCGCCAAAATGGCTTCACAGGTCTGGCATTATTTTAGGGTGTCCGAAAAAGACAGTAAAATAGCGGAATGCAACGTGTGTGAAGCAGAAATCCTGCAACTCCACCCGCCGGACCGGTGAGCGGAGCGAAACACACTAAGAGTTAGACCTAACACGCTTAGCTACTTTATCTACCTCTGGAACAAGCTAAACTAGTTATACATATATTTATTCTTCACTGTCGGGTCTGTGGAAGCTCCAGTGAATGAGCCCCATTAAATGGAAGATTTAAAGTGATGTTTAAATCTTCCATTTAGGCCCCGCCCACTGATTCCGGCGATCGGCCCCAAAATTGGCGATCGGAGCATCCCTAGTTTTTTCTACAAACAGAAACATCTTTATTTTTGCTGCTGTTAAAAATATTTTACATCTGGTAATGCATCATCTCACCTGCCGAAGTCACACAGCTTGAGGATGGCAGTTTCTGGGTCTACAAGCAAATTTTGGGGCTTGATGTCTCTGTGACACACGCCTTGGGAATGGATGTAAGCAAGACTGCGGAACAACTGGTACATGTACACCTGCGGAGGTCACAACATAAGGACAAAAACAGTTATAATAATAAAAAATACATGGGGATCAAAAAATAACAATTTGTTGCCGATTTTACATAAAAGAGTTTAAAAATAGTATATCAAAGTTGCACACTAACAACAAATTCCTAGACTTACACAAACATTTCACATTACGTAAACCCAGAGTGTCTTTGTAGTAAAAGCAGATAATTACCTTCACATATATGATAGGAATGATGCTCTTGGCCTTGTTAAAATGCCTGGCAACCCTGTAGACCGTCTCAGGTACAAAGTCCAGCACCAGGTTGAGATACACTTCATCTTTCTGTACAGCACAGGGCAGAGAGAGGTCATTTTGGATTTAAGAAGCCCTGCTCATAGTTTTAAGTTGACAGTGATTTTATAGTGCAAAGCATTGGGTGCTTCATATGGAACTATCCAATAAACACAAACATTCATTTTAGGGTTGCTGTTATTTATTTTATTTCCCATCGAGTTATCTTATAGGAAATGCGCATATATCATTACATCTGTTTTATTCTCGTGAAACTATGGCACTGTGAGACAGGAGTGAGTGAATATGTTCATGTTTGTCTGGGGATGATCTTGCCTTGAAAAATATTAATATAATATTTATTTGGAGCCTCAAAATTCATTCAAACCAAGATAACTATAAAAAAAAACAATGTGGGCATCCACACCGATACAATAACTGAAAACAGACGCTGGGCGTCAAATAATCGAATATTATTCCCCAGGGCTGTCCGATATTTTCGATTTTGACCATGGTCAGTTTCTGGCATCCCTAGTAGAGAGCTGCTGTTTATTTCTATAAGTACACTTTATTGCAGATAGAAAATATGCTCAAAAATCCACCCTCTTGTGTGAAACAAATGCACCTTCATATTTGTATGTATTTTTGTTGGCTGTTAAGTTTGCCAGTGTCCGTGTTGATATGGTCATGATTTGGACTGTCATCGACTAGAATAGCAACGATATTTAAAACGATATATTTATAGTTGTTTTTGACAGGCCTCAACTGTGCAGGCCGCATTTATGCTGTCTAGTTAAGTGTGTTTGTAATGCACTTGAGTATGTTTGCCTGCATGTGCGCCCACTTGGTCCCTGAATATGACCATGCTATTTGATTTTCTTGCACAAAACAAAAAAACATGAGCTGTACCTTCTCTCCACTGGAGTAGAAGAAGAAACGTAGTCTGACAATGTTGCAGTGGTCCAGCTTCCTCATGATCTGAAGTTCCCGATTCTACAAAGACAAGAAAACACATGAGTGGGGGTGGGAAATCCAGAGAACAGACCGAGCATGGGAGACATTTTAGATACATAGAACAAACTGCCAACACATTTTAAATCAGCTTTAATAATTAATATAACATATTTGTGTTTTATCATTATTGTACATTTTACTTTAATTGCAGTCTTCCTTCTTATGTTTCAAAAAATATTTTTACATTATTTTAATTTTAGTTCATTCTAAAATGGAGCAACTCTCACAAAAAATGTCCCCAGGAAAATACAAGTGTTCTGTTTGTGAATCAGCTTTAATAGTTGATTATAAATCTTAAAAATAAATCTTTATTGGTCGTTTTTACGTAACCTTTTTTTGGTTTACATTTTTTCTTCTTCTATTTTAGCAATCTTTAAACTAATAAAACTAAAACACATGGGAGACACCTGTCCAAAAAACAGATGAAAGGAAGGTGCTTTAAACAAGCTTAGGTCCTGAACAAGAGAACATGTGGATGAATATTACCTTGAACCTCTTATCCTGCAGGACTTTCTTAATGGCCACCATCTCTTGGCTGTCGATGAGGCGAGCTTGGTACACCACACCAAACGACCCATTGCCAATCACCTGCAATGTTTTCACAAAAGAGGGAACAGTCATATGCTGGACTGAAGGAATCAATGAACGCTCATCAGGTGATGTGATTTATAAGGCTATTGTTATTAACTTCTATATATCAGTGATGCAAACACACGTATGGTGAAAAAAGAGAGAACTATTCGAAGCAGAAAAAAACAGCATAATATACCATCTGACAAAGGCCTGTGCTATAATGCTTCAATTAACTGGCTATTCTTTATAATATACTCAGATCAATAGGAGACAGAGTAAGTTATAAATCAAGGGTTTTTATTATTATTTACAGCAGGGGTGGGGAACCTTTTTCCTTTCAATTTTTACAACATCCTCCGAGGGCCGTACAAATGATTGAACTCAACCTCTGCTTAAAAAAACTAAAATCACAGCCCATTCATTTGGCCTTTCTTTCATGCTGTGCAAAGAAAAAGCGACCTCTTAATCCAGATATCTCACCATGACTCACGCATGCATGCATGTGCACGGTGTGGCAGAAATATATGGACACAAGATGTGTGCAAATGTATTTAGTATCCTATCCATGTGAACATGACGTGGGGGGAGGGACCTAACCTCCTCTAGGGGGGTCCGGGCATGATCCCTCGGGAAGATTTTTTTTTTTAATATTGAAGTTAAAAGCATCAATATGGTGCACTTTAAGAGCAAAATGAAGGGATCTATCGATACATCTTTCAACACCCATATGAAACAGAACTGTAAGCAGATTTTTCTTTTTGGATATTTTACAAATCACTCCCCTTTTAAACTCTATTCTTGTTATTTTTAACAACTTTTTTGTTACTGTCATATAGTATTTTATACCTGTTTTTTATTTAGTCTCTAATGTCTCATTAATAACTATAATGATCATATCAAGGTGTGCCTTAACCTCACTGAGCTGAGGTTATTTGAGCCTCTCAGGAGAGGGCTCTCTTCCACCTGGTTGTAGAAAAGCTCTTTAAATTCGTTAGCATACAGATGGAGCACTGAATTTCAGACTCCAGCTTACAGCTTCCTGCTTACCACCTGCCAAAGACCAGTATAGAGGAACACCGCGGCATATGTGTACGGCTCCTTATGGGTGTACGCAATATTTGAAGAGCTGGAGCGGCGTTCCGGTGCTCTCCGTCAGCACTCTAGTCTACACTCCTTTCAGACGAGACATAACCACGTGAAAACACGTTATGCTGGCGTTGTGTTCAAGGAACCTGTCCTTGGCCAGGAAAAACAGGCACTCGCTTGTTTAATTATTTTGCGGTCTAGATTTCTTAGCCACTACTTTGCATCACTGATAGAATCACTGAACAGAATTAAAAAGTTAATTTAGTTTTTGTTAGTTGTCAATGTCTAAAGTGATGCAACCAGTTTAAAGTAGGACACCAGCAAATTGTGATATTGGCTTAAGAAGAGCGCGTTCCTAAGAGCCATGTTTACCATGTCACATTTTCAGGTCAGACGCAAGATAACATCAGCAGTGAAAGCCATAAATGTCAGCACGTGGTGAAGTGATTATGGAGCCACTGGTATTGATCAACAAGCTTATCGTCTTCAGCCAGATCTATTGCAGTCACGTTGTGTAATGAGGTCATAAAGGTCTTCGATACAGCAGCAGATTATGTTATAACATTGTACTTAGTCATAAAAACATTCTTCTTCTTCTTCTGATGACACTGGTCCTTGCTAACCTTGATGTCAGTGTAAGAGACTTCCTGTGGGCGGTCCGGTCCCTGACCTGGTGTGGCCACGACTGTCGTCACCTTCCCACTGTCTCCTGGAAAACAAACAGGAAAAAGTCGTTAATATGAGGCCATGGGATATATAGTGGTGCAGTGATAACATATATTAGTAGGCCGACACGGAATTTAGCTTCACATAGGCTCCCCTGAACAAAAGCACTGGGATTTCGTCATTGGATTTTGGAATATTGCAGTAAATAAGATCTCTGGCAAACACACATTTATGGTTGGAACATACATTTCAGTGTTTCCCACAGAATTTGATTCTATTTGCGGGGGCACCGCAACCCCCCCCCTGGCAAGAAAAGCCAAAGGCCCCTTAACCTATTCGGGTGGCCCACGCATCCACCCCCCCTTCAAATAACAAATTACATGCGAGTTCATGGCTACTGTAGCAGACAGACTCCCTGGAGTAACTGAGGGCTAAGTGCCTTACTCAAGGGCACACTAGTGGTGGTGTTCCAGGCGGGATTTGAACTCGCAACCTGGAGATCATCAGCCCTCATCAGCCCACCTCACTATCCATTAGACCAGTGATTCTCAAATGGGGGTACGCGGGTACGTTGGGGTACTGCAGGGGGTACGTACCTAGAACCACTAAGAGGGTCCTCATATAAACATGTTACATTTGTGTATTGTATTTATAGTTTTTAATAATATATCATTTTGTTCATTGGTTTGTTAAACATACAGTGGGGCAAAAAAGTATTTAGTCAGCCACCAATTGTGCAAGTTCTCCCACTTAAAAAGAGGAGAGGCCTGCCATCTTCATCCCAGGTATACCTCAACTATGAGACAAAATGAGAGGAAAAAAAATCCAGAAAATCACATTTTCCTTTGAACCTTTGTAGCATTTTTCATTATTTACCTTTAAAAAAGGAAGATATATGCCATGAAAGCTTTTACAATTAAAAAAAATACTGCCTCAGGATTTTTAAAAAGACATCAGGGTTCGTATTAGGGATGGGAATTTGAAAGCAAATGTATATTCGAATATTCGACCCCCCAAAAAACGGTTAACCAGTTAACCGAAATGTACATATCCTATAAAAATAAAATTGGGTAAAAAAAAAAAACTTTTGGAAATAAATAAATACATGTTCAAATAAGTATAGAAACCAAGTTGAATTTGTATGAACTGGTGATCACAGTTTGACAGCTATAGGCCTACATCTTTCATGTGCGGAGGCGATTCACAATCAGGCCAGCTGTAGAGAAGACCCTCTCAGCTGGAACGGAGGTTGCGGGTATAGCAAGGTATAGCATGTACAGTGGGGCAAAAAAGTATTTAGTCAGCCACCAATTTTGCAAGTTCTCCAACTTAAAAAGATGAGAGGCCTGTCATTTTCATCCTAGGTATACCTAAACTATGAGAGACAGAATTTGAAAAAAAAAAAAATCCAGAAAATCACATTGTCTGATTTTTAAAGAATTTATTTGCAAATTATGGTGGAAAGTAAGTATTTGGTCAATAACAAAAGTTAATCTCAATACTTTGTTATATACCCTTTGTTGGCAATGACAGAGGTCAAACGTTTTCTGTAAGTCTTCACAAGGTTTTCACACACTGTTGCTGGTATTTTGGCCCATTCCTTCATGCAGATCTCCTCTAGAGCAGCGATGTTTTGGGGCTGTCGCTGGGCAACACGGACTTTCAACTCCCTCCAAAGATTTTCTATGGGGTTGAGATCTGGAGACTGGCTAGGCCACTCCAGGACCTTGAAATGCCTCTTACGAAGCCACTCCTTCTTTGCCCGGGCGGTGTGCTTGGTATCATTGTCATGCTGAAAGACCCAGCCATGTTTCATCTTCAATGCCCTTGCTGATGGAGGTTGTCACTCAAAATCTCATGATTCATGGCCCCATTCATTCTTTCCTTTACACGGATCAGTCGTCCTTGTCCCTTTGCAGAAAAACAGCCCCACAGCAAGATGTTTCCACCCCCATGTTTCACAGTAGGTATGGTGTTCTTTGGATGCAACT